CTCAGGGACACAGAATATGTTACTTCAGCAGGGACACACAGAATTGTTACTCAGGGACACACAGAATTGTTATACTGAGGGACACAGAATTGTTACAGAGGGACACAGAATTGTTACTTAGGGCCACAGAAAACGTTACTATGAGGGATCACACAGAAACGTTACTGAGGGCCAAACAGAATTGTTACTTAGGGCACACAGAATCGTTACTCAGGGACACAGAATTGTTACTCAGGGACAGACACAGAATTGTTACTGAGGGACACAGAATTGTTACTGAGGGACACAGAAACCGTTACTTAGGGCCACAGAATTGTTACTTAGGGCCACAGAATTGTTACTCAGCAGGGACAGACACAGAATTGTTACTGAGGGACACAGAATTGTTACTAAGAGGGACACAGAATGTTACTCAGGGACACAGAATTGTTACTCAGGACACACAGAATTGTTACTGAGGACACAGAATCGTTACTGAGGGACACAGAATTGTTACAGAGGGACACAGAATTGTTACTCAGGGACAGACACAGAATTGTACACAGCAATTGAGGGGACACAGAATTGTTACTGAGGGACACAGAATGTTACTACTGAGGGACACAGAATTGTTACAGGGACACAGATTGTTACTTGAGGGACACAGAATTGTTACTGAGGGACACAGAAATTGTTACTTACTCAGGGACAGACACACAGAATTGTTACTGAGGGACACAGGTTACTGAGGGACACAGAATTTGTTACTCAGGACAGACACAGAATTGTTACTGAGGGACACAGAATTGTTACTGAGAAGACACAGAATTGTTACTCAGGGACACAGAATTGTTACTCAGGGATAAGGACAGACACAGAATTGTTACTCAGGGACACACAGAATTGTTACTGAGACACAGACACAAATTGTTACTGAGGGACACACAGAATTGTTACTCAGGGTCACAGGGACACAGCACAGAATTGTTACTCAGGGACACACAGAAATTGTTACTCAGGGACACAGAATTGTTACTTCAGGCCACAGATTCCGGACAGAATTGTTACTGGGACACTGAGTGACAAATTGTTACTTGAACACAGTTTACTCAGGGGACAAGAGACACAGAATTGTTACTCAGGGTCAGGGACACAGAATTGTTACTGAGGGACACAGAATTGTTACTCAGGGACAGAACCAGAAAGTGTTAGGGACACAGAATTGTTACTTCAGGACACAGAATTGTTACAGGGACACAGAATTGTTACTCAGGGTACAGACACAGAAATGTTACTCAGGGACACAGAAATTGTTACTGAGGGCAACACTGTTCCCTCAGAGGACACAGTATTGTTGACTCAGGGACACAGAATTGTACTGAGGGGGCTAACACTAGAACTCAGGGACACACAGAATTGTTCAGGACACATTGGAGACACAGAATTGTTACTCAGGGACAGACACAGAATTGTTACTCCCAGAGGACAGAATTGTGGTTACATCAGGGCGGGGGGACACAGAATTGTTACTCAGGGACACAGAATCTGTTTAATTAAAGAGTATGTCAGACAACACATGCAGAGGAGTGGCAGAGAGAGGCAATGTTTAGGAGCGAGCTAGACTGGCAGCAGAGGAAGGGTCGAGGCAGCACTAGTCGCAGCCAGAGGCCAGTGCTCCCGGTGTCATCCAGCGTCGTGTCTCCACCGACAACCCTGCCGTCATCGATTGGTTGGCTCGGTCGTCTTCCTCTCTTCCCAGGTCACCTCTGACACCTACAGCCAACGGTCGGTGGGTACGTCAGACACAACCGTTAGTTGGCATGGCCCGGGAGCAAGCCCACTGAAATCACGTGTCCTCTACCTGCCCCTGTCCTTTGGTGTTCCCTCACCAAGCGAAGTATCGCATGCTGTGGGCTCAGCCCCACTGTACAGTGAGGAAGAGCTAACAGAGGGCGGTCAGGAACGGGGGGAGAGACATCCGCCTCTTCAGCAGCCAGGCGAAGAAGTAGTGGCGAGGAGAGTGGCTCGGTAGCCGGTCTAGAGACAGGTCTGTCTCCTGACCCACACGCAGCCGAGGGGGGGGCTAGTAGTGAGGCGGAGACCCTAATTGATGATGATGAGGCTGATCGCACTTGGCAGCCTCGTCGTCATCAGGCTATTGCTTCCGCATCCGCATCATCAGGAGAAGAGGGTGCCAGCTTGGCAGCGAGCAAAACAGTCGGTGGGTTGCCCAGGAGGCAGCAGGGTCGCAGCAGTGTCAGTGGAGGCAAACGGCCACGGAGTAGAGCACCAGCTCCACTGCAGCCTACCACCACGGCCAGTAGTGGTGCCGGTGTGCACATGGAGGAGGAAGTAGCAGTCAGCCAGTGAGGAGTATCGGGGGCAAAGTTTTCCTACTCGGCGGTGTGGCAATTTTTCGTCAAAGCCGCCCGAGGAAGTAAACGTAGCCGTATGTCGACTATGTGGCCAGAAAGTCAAGCGTGGCCAGGGGGCCCATGTTTTGGGACTACAGCGTTGCGTCAGCATATGCAGCGTCGCCATTTGGTGGCCTGGGAAAACCGTGATAAAGATACGGCGGTTCTGCCTGCCCCAGCCCCCGCTCCATCACCCGCTCCGTTACTTGCTCCGTCACCCGACGTCAATCGCCCTCTATCAGCCAGTCAAGGCTCCAACACCTCTGCTGAGGGGAGTTGTCGTCGCTCGTTGGCATCTTCCGCTCGTTCAGATGCTCCTTCTCCTGCTACTCCTCTTCACGGATTCCGTCAGCAGTCTTTCTTGGAATCCGTTTCCAAGAGACAAACAGTTTTGCGAGCACGCACCCGACGGTGCAAAAGCTGAACGTCCTCCTGTCCAAGTTGCTGGTGCTGCAGTCCCTCCCTTTCCAAGTGGTGGACTCAGCAGCACCTTTCCGAGAAATGATGGCTTGTGCCCGCGCCGCGGTGGAGAGTGCCAAGCCGTCATTTCTTCGCCAAAAAGGCAGTGCCAGCCCTGCATTCACATGTAGAAGAGATGGTGGGCCAGTCTTTGAGCATGTCGGTCTCGTCTCTGCCAAAGTGCACGGCAGCAGCGCCGACGTGTGGAGAGCTGTAACTACGGTCAGGGACAGTACATGTCATTTACGGCCCACTGGGTGTGAACGTGGTGCCGGCACAGCAGCCGCGCACCAGCAACTTGGACAGGTCACACGCCGCTTTTGCCTCCACGTTTGCACGTCCTTGGTCCAGCAAAAAGATGTCCGCCTCTACCACCTCTTCTTCCGCCGTGTCCTCAGCCGCCACCCCAATCCATCACCCCGTGCCAAAGTCCCATTACCCGACCGGCATATCACATGTGCAGGGCGCAACGGTGTCACGCTGTGCTGCACCTGGTATGCCTTGGCGAACGTAGTCACACAGGGGAGGAACTTCTGAGTGTAATGAACAGAGAAATCGACAGATGGCTGCTGTCTCCGCGCAAACTGAAAATCGGAACCATGTTGACCGACAACGGAAAAGAACATGGTGTGTCTGCTCTGCGTCAAGGAAGGTTGTGCCATGCGCCATGCATGGCTCACGTGTGTTCAATCTGGTTGTCAAGCGGTTCCTAAAATCCACCATCCCACTGCAAGACATCCTTAAAATGTCACGTAAACTTTGCATGCATTTCAGCCATTCCTACACCGCAAAGCACACCCTCCTTGAGCTGCAGCGGCAGAACGGAATTCCACAGCATCGCCTGATCTGCGACGTTGCAACAAGGTGGAATTCAACCCTACACATGTTAGACCGCCTTTACGAACAGCGAAAGGCCATCACCGATTTCCTGATGTTACAAGCGGATAAAGGTACTCCCCTGTGTAACTTCGATGTCAGCCATTGGCAGCTCATGCGTGACACCTGCCGCTTGCTCAGGCCCTTTGAGGAGGCCACGCTATTCGTGAGTCGGCAGGACTATGGGATGAACGACGTCATTCCTCTGTTGCACGTCCTGGAACAAATGCTGTTAACAATGGCTGGTCAGGGTGCGGTAGACGTGGCGCACAGATCTCAACGCCACATGACCCCTGTGGGGGCAGGACAGGAAGAAGAGGAGGAGGTAGAGGAGGACATTTGTGCTCAGGAATTATTGAGTGAAATGGGTGGTTTTTTCCACTCAGCGGACAGGAGTGGAGGAGCAGGAGCATCTGGTAGAGGAGGAGGAGGAGGAGACAGAGGACCCCAGACGCACCGTGGCAGTATGCTGTGGAGATGGAGGCAGGGAGTCCCTCGCATTCCTTGGCACAAATGGCCCATAGCATGCTCGGTTGCTTGCGTAGCGACAGCCGAATAATAACCATCAGACAGAGGGATGACTTTTGGCTGTCCACCTTGTTGGACCCTCGCTACCGTTCAAAAATGGTGGCCTTTTTCACACCTGCTGAGAGGGAGGCCAAAATAACGTACTATAAAAACCACCTATGTAGTCAGTTGGTCTCTGCCTTTGTGCGCCAACGTCCATCCTCAGACACTGTGGGCCCTGTGCGCTCTCGATTGCGTTCCGCTGCCATGCAGCAGGGGGGGGGGGTGGGGTGGTAGGAGCAGTGGCAGCTCCACCAGCAGCGGCTGCCTCAGTCTGCAGTCGATGATGAGTAGCTTTCTTCACCAGCGCAGTGAGGAAACTACTAACCAGCCGCAGCAGCAGCAGCAGCATCAGGTGGACCTGGAGCAGGACCTCAAACAACAGGCTTGGGCCTACTTGGACAGCACCCTGCCAACCGAGGTAGACAATCCCCTTGACTACTGGGCAACGAAACTTGACCTTTGGCCCCAACTAGCTGAATTTGCCCTTGAAAAGGCTGTCATGCCCGGCCAGTAGCGTGGCATCGGAGCGCGCGTGTTTAGTGCGGCAGGAGGTATTGTAAACTCCGCGGAGGACACGACTGTCCACCCAAAGTGTGGGAAGACTCACGTTTGTGAAAATGAATCAGGCGTGGATTAGTCTGGATTTCAAACCACCAGTTCCTGACACAACTGACTAAATCCGCCATGAATCATGCCCCAAACATGTGCCACTTTCAGGTCTCCTCACACACTGCTGGTGTGTTCCATTTTTTGTCATAGGGTGCTGGCAGATTACGGGCCTCCCATAGCTGCTGCCCAGGCCCCTAATCTGCCATGGGCCCCCTGTACCGCAGCCTCCTCATGCTGCTAGCCTGCCAGGTCCAGAGTCTCTCATGGGTCCCTGTACGGCCTCCCATTGCTGCTGTCTCCATCGCCCACACTCTGCCATGTGCCACTTTCAGGTCTCCCTCACACTGCTGGTGTGTAAGAATTTTTTGTCATAGGGTGCTGGCAGATTACGGGCCTCCCCATAGCTGCTCGCCAGGCCCCTAATCTGCCATGGGCCCCTGTACAGTGTCCCCGCGCCTCCTCATGCTGCTGTGCCAGGTCCACAGAGTCTCAATCAGGGTGTCCCACTGTACGGGCCTCCCATTGCTGCTGCTGTCTTGCCATTTTCCATCCCACACTCTGCCATCAGTGCTGTGCCTCCCATGGCTTTGCCAGGCTCTCCCTCTGCCATGGGCCCACCCCTGTCGCCTCTTCACACTGCTGAGTCTCTCATGGGTCCCTGTTCCCATTTTTGTCTAGGTCCTGCATCGCCACAACTTGCCATGTGCCACTTTCAGGTCTCCTGCACACTGCTGGTGTGTTCCCATTTTTTGTCATAGGGTGCTGGCAGATTGGGCCCCCATAGCTGCTGCCAGGCCCCTAATCTGCCATGGCCCCTGTAGTTACCCGCCTCCTCATCTGCTGCAGTCAAGGTCCAGAGTCTCTCTCATGGGTCCCTGTACGGCCTCCCATTGCTGCTGTCTCCATCGCCCACACTCTGCCATGTGCCACTTTCAGGTCTCCTCACACACTGCTGAGTGTGTTTCCATTTTTTGTCATAGGGTGCTGGCAGATTACGGGCCTCCCATAGCTGCTGCTGCCAGGCCCCTAATCTGCCATGGGCCCCTGTACCGCCTGCCTCCTCATGCTGCTGCCAGGTCCAGAGTCTCATCATGGGTCCCTGTACGGCCTCCCATTGCTGCTGTCTCCATCGCCACACAACCTGCCATGTGCCACTTTCAGGTCTCCTCACACTTGCTGTGTGTGTTTAGAATTTTTTTGACATAGGGTGCTGGCAGATTACGGGCCTCCATAGCTGCTCTGCCAGGCCCCTAATCTGCCATGGGCCCCTGTATACCCCGCCTCCTCATGCTGCTGCCATAGGTCCCAGAGTCTCTCATGCCATGGTCCCTGTACGGCCTCCCATTGCTGCTGGTGTCTCCATCGCCACACTCTGCCATGTGCCACTTTCAGGTCTCCTCACACACTGCTGGCCAGGTTCCATTTTGACATAGGGTGCTGGCAGATTACGGGGCCTCCATAGCATGCTGCTATTGCCAGGCCCCTAATCTGCCATGGGCCCCTGTACCCAGCCTCCTCATGCTGCTGTCCTGTCCAGGTGTCGCCACAGTCTCTCATGCCATGTGCCACTTATCATGTGGCCTTTCAGGTCTCCTCACACTGCTGGTGTGTTCCATTTTTGTCATAGGGTGCTGGCAGATTACGGGCCTCCCATAGGCTGCTGCCAGGCCCCTAATCTGCCATGGGCCCCTATATACCGCCTCCTCATGGCTGCTGCCAGGTCCAGAGTGTCTCATGGGTCCCTGTAACGGCCTCCCATTGCTGCTGCTGTCTCCATCGCCACACTCTGTACCTCCATGAATGTGCCACTTACTTTCAGGTCTCCTCACACTGCTGGTGTGTTTACATTTTTTGTCATAGGGTGCTGGCAGATTACGGGCCTTTCCCATTGCTGCTGCATGCCAAGACTACCGCCTTGTACGAACAGCAAGCGAAAGGCGCCATCACTAAGATTTCCTGATGTGTTACAAAGCGGATAAAGGTACTGCCCTGTGTCAACTTAGATGTCACTCCATTGGCCCAGCTGACATGCGTGTTACACCTATGCGCTTGCTCATGAAGGGCCCTTTGAAGGAGGCCACGCTATTCGTGCTGTCCAGGCAGGACTGAATGGGCAATGAACGACGTCATTTCCTCTGTTGCACGTCCTGGAACAAATGCTGTCCCAACATGATGCTGGTCAGGGTGCGGTAGACGTGGCGCACAGATCTCAACGGTCTCCTGACCCCTGCTGAGGGGCAGGACAGTGAAGGCAGTCCAGAGGAGGAGTAGAGGAGGACATTGGTGCTCAGGAATTATTGAGTGAAATGGGTGGTTTTCCACTAGCTGCCTCAGCCGGAGGATGGAAGGGCAGGAGCATCTGGTAATGAGGAGGAGGAGGAGGAGACAGAGGACCCATCCCTAGACTGCACCGTGGCAGTATGCTGTGGAGATGGAGTGGCAGGGCAGGTGAGTCCCTCGCATTCCTTGGCACAAATAGGCCCATAGCATGCTCGCATTTGCTTGCGTAGCGACAGCCGATAATAATAACCATCAGACAGAGGATGTGACTTTTGGCTGTCCCACCTTGTTGGACACCCTCGCTACCGTTCCAAAAAATGGTTGGCCTTTTTCACACCTGCTGAGAGAGGAGGGCCAAAATAAAGTACTAATAAAAACACCAACCTATGTAGTCAGCTGGGTCTCTGCCTTCCCTGCGCCAACGTCCCATCCTCAACACTTCCTGATCAGGGCCCTGTAGGCGCTCATTCGCTCCTCACTCAAAGATTCGCAACTGCCATGCAGCAGGGGAGTGGTGGGGTGAGTAGGAGCAGTGGCAGCAGCTCCCACCAGCAGCGGCTGCCATCAGTCTGCAGTCGATGATGATACTACGAGATCATGCGGAAGCTTTCTGTAGAAGACAGCCCTGAGCTGGTGTTTGAGGCTGACAGGACTAGACCAGCCGCAGCATGGCAGCAGGGCATCAGGTGGACCATGGACAGCAGGACCCTCAAAAACAGCCAGCTTGGGCCTACTTGGACAGCACCCTGCCAACCAGGTAATGACCAGTCCCCTTGACCTACTGGGCAACGAAACTTGACCTTTACCCATTGCTGTGCCCCAATGTCCTAAGCTGAATTTGCCCTTGAAAGGCTGGTCACACCAGACATGCGTGGTCATCGGAGCGCGTGAGATTTAGACATTGGGTTTCTGTCCGGTGTTATGGCAGGTATTGCCTAGTAACATGCATGGCTGAGGGACACGACTGTTCCACCCAATCTGGGAGGAGACCCCCACTAATTTTAACGTGAAAATGAATCAGGTCCTGTGGATCTCAGTCATGGATTTCAAAACCACTGGGGTTCCTGACCATCTGCTGACTGTCTCTCCATCGAAATGTCACTGGCCCTCAGCCATGTGCCGACTTTCAGCTCTCCTCACACTGCAGGTTGATGTGTTCGCATTTTTTGAACTTATCATGAGGTGTAGTGGCAGGGAGAGTTATTACGGGCCTCCCATAGGCTGCTGCCAATGGCTGACCACTAAGTGTAGCGTGTTCATAGGGGCCAGTCATCTGGACCGCCTCAACCTGTCGAGCTGATGGCCAATGTCCATAGGGTGCTCATGGCCCCCTGCAGTACTGCCTCGGCAACATCATTGCTGCTGTGTCGTTGTCAGCATGCTGCAAAGAGTTCAGCTTCTGAGGCATGGTAGTGCCACTTTCAGTGATGCTGCATCCAAGGTCACTGGGCCATGTGGTGTTCCATTTTGTCGTGTCACTGTGTGGGGGTGCTGATTACGTGCCTAGGTGTGTAGCTTGCCAGGCCCCTCTCTGTGCCAAGGGGACGCTGCGCTGAGGTACCGCCACCTCCTCATGGTTTATCAGGTGCTGAGTAGTCTTATGGGTTCCAATTTTGTGTCATGGGTCCGGCGTGGATTAATTGGATTCTGCTCGCCAGCGAGGCAGCAGGGTCCGCAGCAGTGTCAGGTGGTGGCAAACGGGAGGGGAGGCACCCAAGCAATTTTCCACTGCTGCTCCTCCCACCAGGGGCTCCCATGGTAGGTCTATCTGTTCGGTTGTCACGGAGGAAGTAGCATGTCCGTTGATAGGCTGTCATACCGAGGCGTGTAGTAGGGAGCGCGACCAAGTTTCCCCTCATGGCGTCATCGTGTGTGGCCAATATTTTTTTTCGTCAAGTGAGGCTGACGCTAGTCGAGGAAGTAAACGCCCAGCCTTAGTCGACTATGTGGCCTTTCATGTCTGCTCACGCGTGGGAGGGTTCCCATTTTTCACAACTACCAGTTTGCTGTCACATATGCAGGCTCCAGCCACTCAGTTCCATGTGCCACTTTAGGACACACAATTTCGTGGATACAAGTTGGTGGGTTCAATTTCTGCATGTTACCAGTGGAGTTTCCATTTTTGTCATAGTGTGCTATGCGTCACGTACGGGCCTCACCATAAATCTGCTTGCCGAGGCCCTAATCTGCTGCATGGGCCCCTATAACCGCGGGCTGTGGCCTCCTAGAATGCATGCTGCTGCCAGAATCGCCACAGGTCTCATTGGTCGCCCTGTATACGGTTGTTCCGACTTCACATTGCCTGCTGTCTCCATCGTACCCACACGGCCTGCCATGCAGTGTGCCACTTTCAGGTACTGCCTCACACGCTGGTGAACGTGTCCCATTTTTGTCATAGACTGGGACTGGCTAGAAATTACGGGCCTCGCCCGCTAAAGTTCTAGCTGTGCCCAGGCAGGCCCCCGTAATCTGCTCATGCCTGCCAGCCCTATACCTGTTCCTCCTCATGCCCCCCCCCCCCCCCGACCTTCGCATGTCTGGCACGCCTCAGCCGTGCCTGATGGTGCCCTGACACTTTTCTGTGCTTGTCTGGCATAATCGCGGCTCGTATCCGATGCTGCTTCTCCAGGCGTCACTGGGGATGGTGTCATTTCACTTGCACGGTCTGTTGGTCAGGGTTCCAGTCTTTCTTGTCATCCGGGTGCCGAAGGTACCCGAGGCCTTCCCAGTAGCTGCTGAGCACCGCCACCAAATCTGAGCCAGGGCCGCTACGGTGCAGAACTACTGTCATTCCTGACTGCAGCTCCTAAGTCTGTCATGGGCCCCGTTGTCCAAGCGTTGGCATAATCCTGCTCGTAGTCCAGAATGCTGCCTGGCTGTGTACTGACTCTTCCGCCAGTCAGGCAGTAATGGGCTGCTTCTGCCAGAACCACAGTGTGCCATGGACTGCCCCCGACCGACTGCTTCATACGATGGTCAATGCAATGGACTGCCCGAGGCCCGGTAATCTGACATCGGCCTGGTGCCCCTGTACCTCGAGCCTCCTCATGCTGCTGCCCACTGTAGGTCCAGGAGTGTTGTCATGGGTCCCTGTACGGCTGCTCCCATGTGCTTGATGCCAGGCTTCGTATGCTTGACGATGGAAGTTGTTATGACCACTCCGAAACCTGAACGCCATCATGTTGCTAGGCCCTGGCCACGTAATCAGTTCTATGGGGCAAAGGTCCTGTCCGCAACCTGGGAGGACCCGCCTCCATGGAATGCTGCCTGGGATGGGGGAGTTGTCCAGAAGTCCTCTGTATGGGCTCCCATTGCTGCTGTCCTCCATCGCCACACTCTGCCATGTGCCACTTTCAGGTCTCCTCACACTGCTGGGTGGTTTTCCATTTTGTCATAGGTGCTGTATGGCCTCCCATTGGTGCTGCGCCTCCACCGCCACACTGTGGCTCCACACTCTGGTTTTTGGCCCCGTGACTGCCCAAATGAGTGAAGTGTGCGGTGAATCTAAGATCGACGGGGCACTCATTGCATGTCATAACAGACTGACAGTATTATTTCCTCTTCCCCCCACAGGACCTCCAAGGGGCATTTAAAAAAGGTTAAAGGTAACAGTGTTCTGCACTAATAGGTGCGGGGAGGGGGGGGGAGTTCTCTCTGGAAGCCTAAGAAACACCCTTGTTATAAGTTTAAATTTCGCAGCGAATTAAATTCGACTCTATTCGAAATTTTTTGTTTCGAACTGAATTTCGCGCGCAGAGCAGTCATCTAATTTTTGAATAATTCGCTCCATTTCTCCTACTGAAAACGATATTTTTTGCACTGAATGAGATCTCAGTGATGGTGATCGAAACTTGGCGCTCAAATTTCAAATTACAGTGTTTTTGGTTATATTATATTAACATGAGAGGGAACTATAAATTTATTTATTATTATATAGATTATTATTTTTAAAGATATCTGTATTAAATTATAATAATATGATTTTGTTGTTTCAATCATAGTTTTATCCTACCCTGGGATGTTTTACTAGGACTCTTGGCTTCGTTTACAGAATTTTAGTGAGTTTAATACATAAGAATTACAGGCCTACAAATAAAAACGCCAAATTTCAATGCAAAATAATGGTACCTACGCTTCAGCACACAAAAAACTGAAAATAATCATACACCGGCCAAGGGAGGTGAATCTGCAGAATTGTCCGTAACTGAATTTTATCCACTGTGGATGAATGGTTACTGTTCGTATGTTAGATAGGAATTCCCAGCAGTGGGTTTGAAAATTAGTTTTTGTGCAAATAATGACCCACAAATGTCCTCAATTCCCCCCCTCCAGGTCTAAGTAAAGAATCAAAAATTCCTCCATCTATTACATGGGTAAAGGATATTCCATATGGATTTTTTTGCAGCAATCCGATGGTACGATGTCGGTTTTGGCACTGCAAAGAACGGTACTTTTTTTGCCATGACTTCGATATTTGTGTGACCAAGAGTATAAAGTTTAGTAGAGGGATGGATTATGTTGTGGGGTTGTATTTTCAGAGGTGGGCCTTTCCCCTTAGTTTCAGTGAAGGGCCTGTCTGATGAAAGAGGACGCCTGGACTCCATCGCGTCCTGACACATCGCACAAGAACACGACACATTTTTGATGACAATCAGATGCCAACATGTGCTATCCCGGACATCTTGGAGATTCTGGGCCTAGGCTTCACCACCACCTATGGCGCATATGCACAGGCACCATCTGCTCTGGCAGACACCCCCCTTGGAGATTCCCACCAGCATTAACCATCCATGTTTGCACATGCACAGCACCACAACATGCTGGCGGACTCAATCGATCTCCTCTCTGGTTTCAGACACACACGGGGCGACAGACCATTTGGAACTAGGGGGCACTGCCCGAGGGCCCAGGTTTCAGTAGGGGGCCCCATGAGAGCCCCTGGTACCTATTCAATTACGCTTTTTTGAGTTTGGGCAAGGACACAGGGCCCCATGATCCCTATTTGGGCCCGAGGCCCCATGAGTTGTCAGTCCCCCGCCCCCCTGGGACACACAAATACAACAGGGGCGGGGGGGCTACAGATGTCATCAAACCTCCTCTTAATGTTTACCCTTGTGCCGTTTTTAATCCTAAGCTGATGAGTTACTACTTATCTGTTATCTATAAAAAACCTTCACATACACACTTAGAGGGGCTGTGTTTCATTTTGTTTCCCCTTCTGCAGAGTTTATGGCTTTCACTCCTCACGCTAGACTGGGGGGAGCTTGGCCCTTAAGTGGCCTGGCGCGGGGGGGTGGTGTGGACTATACATTTAAACCCCTGCCCGCTTGAGAGAGACCTCATTCAAACAAACATGGACCTGCCACACCATGCGTCCAGTTATCACCCATTTGTATTAATAATATATTTTGTATGATCCAAAATAGTGAAATGTCAAAAAATCTGGTATATCCAGATTTGGGGTTTTGAGGGAAACCGATATAACGCAAAAAGTGGTACAAAGACCTGTTGGCCAATATTACTCCGTGAGTTGTGACTTGAACAACGGGAAATGGCCAATGGTTAAAATGCAGTTAAAGAGAAGGGGAAGAGAGGACACCTTGCCCTCCTTATAGAATGGATAACTGTTGTAGGTCAAAATAAAAGGAGGGATCGCGGGGAAGGGGCCGAAAAGCCAAATTTTGCAAAAAACCTCTGAAAAACCAAATAAAATTTTACATTTTAAAAAATTTTTTCCCTTTTCTCGGCGTCAGGGTTTTTATTGTAATTTTTGGGGGGTTTGTTTGGCTTCTAAAACAGCAAGAACTTTCGGTATTGAAAGCAGCCGAACGCCCTTTTTTAAAAGCCTGCGGGAAACTGAATAAAAAGGGGCAAATTAAGTAGTTTATTTGCCATATTTTTGGAAATATTTTAGCGTCAAATTTAAAGAGAAATTGAAAGTGGGGAGCCTGGGTCAGGGGGGCCCTTCCCCCTTTTTTTGCTTAAAATTTTATGGGGCCCCTTGAAAACCCCCAAGGCATGTATCCTGCCTTCTTGTATCTCAAATACAGATAGCAAGTCAATAAAAAACTTTGCTGCAGTTTAAAAAATTCTGAGTGTCCCATCCGTCCAGGGGCTTTGCCATTGGCCAATAGGCTGTTGCCGAATGAAACCCAAAATGATAGTTGGCGTTAAGTGCAACCGGGGGGGTTTGGTCTACTTGTGGGGGTGAGATATCCAAAAATGCTTGGCTCATGTCAATCACGGTCGGGGTCCTAAAATTTGAGTGTAGAATTGTTCTAGAATGCAAATTATCTCCTCAGGAATATCCTGAAGGAGCCCTGAAACCCTTCAAAGCTATAACGGGGTAGGTGAAAAATTTTTTTTTTTTGCAGAGGCAAGTGAGTAATTTGCCTGGTTTCTTCCCAAATTTGTTATATTGTAGGCCGGGTGGGACTGGTGTAGGGTTTTTGTGCCTCGTAAAAGTGAAAATTTGGCTTTTTTCTTCCAGCCAAATTTTCCTTTTTTGTCAGAAAATTTTATGTCAGCTAGATGCCCCTGCACATTTTCTAAAGGGGTCACTACCTCCAGAATTTGAATGAGATTTTTTTTATATGCTGCTGAAAAGGGCTATAATTTCCCCTCATATCACAGTTTTGCCTGTTTCCCAAACAATTTGGGGATTAGATTGAGGCCGTGTTTTGTAAAAAAAATCTGACCAGGTGTCAGAAATCACTTGAAGGGGGCCCTGATTGCTGGCTAAAAGGGAAGGGAAACGTAGATTTTAGGGACTGATTATTGTCCAGTGCTCGAAAAAATGGAAACGGGCTATGATCTGAGATGGGGCCTGTCATAATACGGACTTATGATGCATTTAGAAAGAGGGGTTGCAGAAAAAATTGTCTAATCTGGAAAAGGTTTTGGACAGGAGAATAGAATTTATTCTTTTCCGGGGATGGTACAAATGCCAAAAGTGGGCAGCCCAGTCCCCCATAAAGTGGGCAACGGGGGGGTGTGTGGAAGAGACCCATTAGGACCTTCGTTTTTGATTTACTTCCTGCCATTATGGGGTAAAATCTCCCCCCATGATAAAAAAGGGGTAAAAAATTTTGGACCCCGCAGAAGCATTTGGGGAAAAAAGTTTTTAGGGGAGTTAGGGGGTAGATATTGGGCAGGACTAAATCCCCGGGGCCTATTCAATTAGTACAGTTTTAAAATTGCCCCCCTTTACCCCTTGTCAGGAAATTATAAGGGGTAACCGTTTGTGAAAAATTGAGGACACCACTTTGCCTTTAAAAACCGGGTGAAAAACCCTGGGCCTGTCCAACCCTAATTTTTTCATATGTACAAAGCAGCCTGGGTTAAAAAGGTTTCCCGTAATAATGCCTTTAGTCACCTCAAATGGGGTAGTATCACCATGCCTTATGAGGGGATCTCAAAACCCTTTACATTCCAGGATTTATACAAATATCATTCATTGTGGGTATATTTTTTTCCATAGTCATACTTACATCTATTTTCACTGTCCCTGCCCTTTCCCCCAAATCCAAAGCATCGGTAATGGATAAAAGTGGTCTAGTATATTGAAAATTAGGTTCCTGGGGAAACATATAAGGATGAAGAGGGATGAAGAAGAAAAAAGGCACAACTGGGGCACAACTAGGCCCAATAGAAAACAAAAAATAGGGGAAAAACCTTGCGCTAGTTTGGGCTTAACATTTTTTCCCCATGGTTTGGGGTTGAAACCATTGAAGCGTCCCCACCGCTGATTCCAGCAAGCGATTTAAAAAAGGCCGTCTGTTTACAAGATTTCAAAAAGCCAGAATTATGGGAAATCAGAGGGAAACTGTGGGGTACCAAGCAACCCTCTGACCTATTAAAACAGTAAAAACAATAGAAAAAAAGGAAAAAAAGATAACTAGTTAAAGGATACTTATGCATCTGGAGGATACTGCTGCATCATGCTGAAACAACTTAAAATAATAGCATGATAGCTGTGAATTAATGACTTTGAGTTATAGGTAAATTAAGTTACGGAGGGATGTGTTTTCCCGAAAATTGAGTTTTACCTGCCTTTAGCGATCCTTTCGGGGGCTACATTTAACCCCCGGGGCCTGAACCTGGGTAGGATGTAAGGGCTTGCGGGTTGGAGAGATTATTCAATAGGTTTGTAAAAAGTGCTAAGCTTCTTCTGGATGTGTGAAGGCTTTTTTAACTCCTGAGTGAGGGGTTGGGGGCCGCAAGTGGTGGGTAGGCCAAAGTGAATTTTTTTCCCTTTTCATGCAGGGTGGGCAGATAGGGTTTAAAAGGCTTTACATTTTGCGGTACTTTTGGGTTTCGCGAAAAATGTCCATCGATTTTTGATGAACGAGAATTGCGAAATGATTGAGGGGAGTCACGTGCCGTGTAATTAAGATATTTGACGATCCCCGACCGATCGTCTATCATTGGATGGAGATCCTAAATGGTCCCCCTTTCCCAGTGCATGGCTGGGTTTGGCCCCCGGGGCAAGAATTTAAGGGAAAATGTATGTCCTTTTTTGGTCTGTCATTTTTTTTTATTTTTTC